ACATCCCCAAACGGCTCCAGGGTCCTCCCCAGGGACATCCCCGTGTCCCCAAAGCTGTCCCCATGGACACTGCCACGTCCCCAAGCTGTCCCCGTGTCCCCAGATGCCTCCATGGACCTCCCCATGGATGTCCCCAAAGCCACCCCCATGGACATTTCCATGTCCCCATGGACGTTTCCATGTCCCCAAGGATGTCCCCGGGTCCCCACATGCCTCCATGGACCTCCCCAGGTTCTCCCCATGGATGTCCCCATGTCCCCAAAGCCATCCCCATGGACATTTCCGTGTCCCCAAGGGCGTTTTCATGTCCCCAGGGATGTCCCACTGTCCCCACATGCCTCCACAGACCTCCCCAGGTTCTCCCTGTGTCCCCAGGGATGTCCCCATGGACTCTCCCATGTCCCCAAGGATGTCCCCATGGACGTTTCCGTGTCCCCAAGGATGTCCCCATGTCCCCACATCCCCAGATGGCTCCAGGGACCTCCCCAGGTTCTCCCTGTGTCCCCAGGGATGTCCCCATGGACGTTTCCGTGTCCCCAAGGATGTCCCCATGTCCCCACATCCCCAGATGGCTCCAGGGACCTCCCCAGGTTCTCCCTGTGTCCCCAAGATTGTCCCCATGTCCCCACATGGTTCCACGGACCCACCCAGGTTCTCCCCAAGGATGTCCCCATGTCCCCAGAGATGTCCCCACATCCCCAAATGGCTCCAGGGACCTCCCCAGGGACATCCCCGTGTCCCCAAAGCTGTCCCCATGGACACTGCCACGTCCCCAAGCTGTCCCCGTGTCCCCAGATGCCTCCATGGACCTCCCCATGGATGTCCCCAAAGCCACCCCCATGGACATTTCCATGTCCCCAAGGATGTCCCCGGGTCCCCACATGCCTCCATGGACCTCCCCAGGTTCTCCCCGTGTCCCCATGGATGTCCCCATGTCCCCAAAGCCATCCCCATGGACATTTCCGTGTCCCCAAGGGCGTTTTCATGTCCCCAGGGATGTCCCCCTGTCCCCACATGCCTCCACAGACCTCCCCAGGTTCTCCCTGTGTCCCCAGGGATGTCCCCATGGACTCTCCCATGTCCCCAAGGATGTCCCCATGGACGTTTCCGTGTCCCCAAGGATGTCCCCATGTCCCCACATCCCCAGATGGCTCCAGGGACCTCCCCAGGTTCTCCCCGTGTCCCCAAGGTTGTCCCCACGTCCCCACATGGCTCCACGGACCCACCCATGTTCTCCCCATGGATGTCCCCATGTCCCCAAAGCCACCCCCATGGACATTTCCATGTCCCCAAGGATGTCCCCGGGTCCCCACATGCCTCCATGGACCTCCCCAGGTTCTCCCCATGGATGTCCCCATGTCCCCAAAGCCATCCCCATGGACATTTCCGTGTCCCCAAGGGCGTTTTCATGTCCCCAGGGATGTCCCACTGTCCCCACATGCCTCCACAGACCTCCCCAGGTTCTCCCTGTGTCCCCAGGGATGTCCCCATGGACTCTCCCATGTCCCCAAGGATGTCCCCATGGACGTTTCCGTGTCCCCAAGGATGTCCCCATGTCCCCACATCCCCAGATGGCTCCAGGGACCTCCCCAGGTTCTCCCTGTGTCCCCAAGGTTGTCCCCATGTCCCCACATGGTTCCACGGACCCACCCAGGTTCTCCCCAAGGATGTCCCCATGTCCCCAGAGATGTCCCCACATCCCCAAATGGCTCCAGGGACCTCCCCAGGGACATCCCCGTGTCCCCAAAGCTGTCCCCATGGACACTGCCACGTCCCCAAGCTGTCCCCGTGTCCCCAGATGCCTCCATGGACCTCCCCAGGTTCTCCCCATGGATGTCCCCATGTCCCCAAAGCCATCCCCATGGACTCTTCCATGTCCCCAGGGATGCCCCCATGTCCCCACATGGTTCCACGGACCCACCCAGGTTCTCCCCAGGGATGTCCCCATGTCCCCACATGGTTCCACGGACCCACCCAGGTTCTCCCCAGGGATGTCCCCATGTCCCCACATGGTTCCACGGACCCACCCAGGCTCTCCCCATGGATGTCCCCATGTCCCCAAAGCCATCCCCATGGACTCTTCCATGTCCCCAAAGATGTCCCCGTGTCCCCACATGCCTCCATGGACCTCCCGAGGTTCTCCCCATGTCCCCATGGACATCCCCGTGTCCCCAAAGCCATCCCCATGGACTCTTCCATGTCCCCAGGGATGCCCCCATGTCCCCACATGGTTCCACGGACCCACCCAGGTTCTCCCCATGGATGTCCCCATGTCCCCAAACTGCTCCACGGCCCTCCCCACCTTCTCCCCACGGCCATTCCCACGTCCCCAAGCTGTCCCCGTGTCCCCAAGCAGAGGCAGGTGGCACTTGTGTGTGTGTGTGTGTGGGGGTGAGTTCAGGTTTATTGGGGGGTGGGAGGTGACCGGGGTGTCCCCAACGTCCCCCCAGTTGTCACTTGTAGAACTCGTGCTCCTGTTCGTCCTTCTTGATGACGGTCTTGTACGCCTTCTCGAAGTCCTTGGCCAACACGATGTACCGGTTCTCCCGCACCGCCAGCATGCCACCCTGGGGACAGGCCACCGCGTCACCCACGGCACCCTCACCACGGGGAAAGGCCACCAGGTCACCTCCGGCCACCATGAGGACAGGCCACCATGGAGAAAGGCCACCAGGTCACCGCCGGCGCCTCCAGCCAG